GTTATCACACTGTTTTTTATTGGCATGTAAACGAAAGTGAAGGATGGCAAACGACAGGCCAAACTGTCATATTTAAGAGCTGAACGTTTATGTGTGTGACGAGGAGGGGAGTGATTTTTGTGAACACAGCAAGGTCTTACACCGTTTACCACACAAACACATGCACTTGTTTGGCCAAGCATCTCACACAAAGCACCAGGAAGGTCACAGTGCCACATAAGCACAAGGCTTTCTACCAACCTAGAGAACTTTATAGCTGAGGAAGCTGAAAACATTTTTAGACACACTGTCAGAGCTTCAGTGGATTCACAACGTGCATGAAAAACACTGCAAGGCATCAAGTGAAACCTAAAACTAAAACATAATTCATGTGTTCCTCTCTCCTGCTGTCATGGACGAAAATAACTACATTTACTCAAGGTGCTAAAACTAGTTTTGAGCTTCTTGTACTTTGAGTTTTTCTGCTTTGCGTTACTTCAGACCTACTTTCTAGTAAAACCTTTTACTGGTTTGATTAACCTGTTGACAGCTGAACATATTGCTTTAGTTTTATGGTTGAATGTATTGGAAGAAAAACCCCTGTCATAAGATCAAGCAGCAGGGATTTCAGTTAAGAAAGCATAGCTGAAACATGTCTTCAAAAAATAACCAGAGGCAGATCTAGAACATTTTGGATGGGGAGGCCAGGCTGGGGCACAGACTCAGGGAGATAGATGGAAAACGTAAAAAAAAAAAAAAAAAAAAAAAAGGGCCACTTTGGGGGAGGGAAAACGAAAAAAAAAAAAAAAAAAAAAAAAGGTGCCACTTGTGGCCTACTCCTTGGCTCCACCCATAAACACAACATGTGATGTATTGCAGTGCACTCTGTGCAGTGGGTTTCTCCAGGTGCTGCTCTTATCACACCCGAAACATTTGGACAGGCGTGCTGTTGTTTCTGGCATAGCTCAATCTGAACAGGTCAACACTCCAGCAACATTAAAAGTATAAGGAACAACGTTATAGTTAGATTAACAAGTTTCCACTTGTGGCCTTCATCAGGGTCAGTGGAACACAGAACATAAAGGATAGTTCAATATTTAAATAAGACGTGTGAAACAAAATCATTAACAAAGGTTAAAATAATGTAAACATGGTTGGACATTCGGGTTTTCAGTAAAGCAGGTCAAAGTAAAAATTATTTCTGTGAAAAAAGTTTAACAGAAACAAAAGCTCAAAGGTACCTTTATTTATTCAGCGGCTTAACCAGCCTGGACTGTGGTGCTGCGGTAAACATGGAGATGAGGCTAACAATCAGCTAACCTTACTTTTCAGAACATCCTGAGGATTTACTCCACCCTGCCAGCATCAGGTTATTTTGTCAACCTCACACCATCAGTCTGAAGGCATTAGCAATCATATAGAACGGTCATTTAAACTTTAGCATTAAAAAGTACCTTAGAATATATGCTGGAGTGAAAACCAATCAACACTCAGTCGTTGCACTACACTGCAGCATTGTGCAGCTCTGTTTTACAGACTGCTTTGTTCAGTTCCGTATTATGTAAGATTTGTGTGCGCGCACGCTAAGCTAGCCATGTCCAGGTGGTCGATAGCTATTACTGAGGTCTAAATGATTCCCTCCTCTCCCACCAACTCATTTGCTCTGCTGATCACTGAGGTCTAAATGATTCCCTCCCCTCCCACCAACTCATTTGCTCTGCTGATGCACTGAGTCACCGAGAAAACCTGAAACAAACGCACACACTCAGTAGAAGCGAGCAGACTCTCTGCTGTGTCAGTGTTAGATCATCATAGTTGAACAGTTCAGCTAATGTTTTGTCTGTGGTTCAGGCAATTAAGAGGCTAGTTAGACATCTTCTCCTTGGACGTGTTTTCTTCTTACTGTGCCATTAAGCAGTAATCAGGTGATTAAACATTCATCTATTGCTCTGAATTCTTCTTCTCAGCATGAAGAATGGCAATAAAATCCCTTCTGTTGATGTTACACTTACGTCACATTTTAAGGTCCTTAATGCATCAGCTCTTGATTCAAACCCCAGACCTTCATCCTGAGGCCTTTACTTATTAAAAACAACCTTCTTCCTGGTGCTGTTCTTGGCCACTGCACACTGTGTGCTGTTTCTCTGGAGCAGTGGTTCGACGGCAGCAGCTGCCTTGGCTGCCAGTTGGACTGCTGCTGCTTCTGTTTTGGCCCCATGTGATCAGCTCCCCTGAAAGGCACTGAGGTCGTTTATCTTCTTGAGGCATTGTTTTAAGTTTTTTGCACTGATCAGAGACAAACACTGAGAAACAATTTTCATTTCTGTAGAATGCTGTGTGGTGGTCTGGCAATAGCAGTATGGATCCTGCTGAGCATGCATAATCTCTCGTTCATCATGAATAAAAGAGCAGATGATACGGTGTAGTTTCTCTCCTTAGAATTTGATATAACACGGATTTCTCATGGTTATATCAAATATTTAATTATTAATTTAAACCATACGCAAAGCCTGGCAGTAGTCTACATTTCTCTTACTGTCAACAAATCCCTTAAAAATACCAAAACCAACAATGAAGTATGGTGCAGCAACAGTGTTTTCTGAGTTGCCAGAACTTGATGGATCTTATTCCCATCTTATTTGCCTTT